ACTATGTGGATGATACTGTATCTGTAACTAGACAAAGAATAATAAGCAATACAAATGTCTCTGGGAGTCATGCTCATTTTACTGATGCACATTATTAATTCAAAATTGTCTCTGTTGTTTGTTCTTGACAAACAACCACATCTGTACCACATCTAGAAACTAGTGGTATATTATAATAATAATCATTAGCAACACCACCATCTCCATGATCACTCTCTGCACCATCATCATCACTCCTTGCATTCATATATAGCACTTTCTCATCCCTTTCTTGCGCCATTGAAGTCCAGCCCCACTAAACTGTAGTTCATTTACAGAAATGCGAATAAAAATGGATTCACCAGTTGGATGAAGGGCAGGTTGTACAAGCCCTGAAGTGGAATGGAGCCAAGACTCCAGTGTTAACACCCCAACCTGTCTGTAAAGTGCTAATGGGATGTTAACTGACCAAGCAGTCAGGATTTTGGTTCTGAAGGAATACACCTCCTGCAGCACTGTGACCCTGTGACCCTCTATTATTTGCTTTGGAAATTCTGTTCCAGGGGGAACATTGTCAAAAACATCACTTGCAGCAGGAACCTCTCCCATCCCAGTACTGACCTGGCCCAGCCCTGTTTAGCTTCTGAGATCAGACGAGATTAGGCTACATGAAGCCAGCAATGAGCAGCGTAATGTCATCTCATTTTAATGAATGTACTTTAAGAACCAAAGGGGTTAGTTGATATAGTGGAGCATTTAAAAACAAAAAAAGATTTTTAATATCCACGGCTCAGTATGTAGAATGCTTGTTTCAATACCTCAGGATTTCTCTTTAATTGTGGATTTTCCCTAGTTTTGGTTAATGTGGTGAGAACAGCTAAGCTTTATGGACTAATCTGGGTGTTGTACCACGGATTGCATTAGGACAGTATAAATAAGGACAGCCTTCCCCACCCGAAGAAGGCTCCACAGCCTAAATGTTTTCTTTCTTCTCTTTTCAACATGGCATAAACCTATTACTTGTTCCTTAGAACAGTATGGCAGAAATGTGTTATTCTTAACTATATTTATTGAAAGGCAATTTAATTAAGTGAATCCAAACCCTCAATAATGAGGTTCAATAATGACCCCTCAATATTGTTGAGACTCAACAATATTTAAATCTGTTAACACATATTAGAATTACATATACATGTACATAGTTCCTGTGACATTGTGTCACATGGAAATGACAGAAAAAAATAAAGAAATGAACTAGCAATTTTTATATAAAATGAATATTTGAATATTCATATAAACCATAATACAAATGTTGTTGTCTCTTAGATATTTATGTGCAAGCACAGTGATTGTGAATATTTAGTTTAAAAAATATATACTGTAATTTCATTTTTATGCAGTTAGGAATGCTTGATGAGATTGACCAAAGCCACAGCCAAAGACACAGGTGTTAGGAGACTGTTCCTTGTTGGATTTGAGGAAGACAGTCTCATTGACAGACTGCTTGGTGAGCTCAGTGCACTGCTGGTCTTTGGTGAAAGTCTGGGCCAGTAGTACAGAAGACGGCTCTCAGACTGTCAGTGTATATCTCCCCTCATGCAGGGACAGATACTTTGACATGACAGAATTTTTAAAAAATGGAGGAGGTTTGTTTTCAATGGCCAACCCAACCCCACCCACAGTTCGTCTGTGTAGTCCTGTCTTTTTGAGAAACTCCATGGAGTGTTGCTTTATGAGATGGGAGACCTGCTCTTTAAAAAATCCTTTTAAAGAAAAAAGCCTTTTAGACAGTCGTCACCTGTGGCGATCAGAGTCCGCCTCTCGAGTTTACACCCCTACAGCTTGTATTTGCTAAATACTCCCAGGTGACTCGCACACTGTTGTGACCAAACATGGACATGTCATAGTTGATTTTCAAAGTTTGGTACTTTTTGTTAAGTGAATTCGCTCTCTCTCTGACCATAGATACATACTGTAAAGGCCTGTCATTTGTTTAAGAATCGCAATACGTGGGTGTTGATTTTAAATTAAAAAGTCGAGTTAAAGTAAAAATTAAAAATAAAAGCAAAGAATATAAGAAATATAGGCCTGTATACTTTTAAGTAAATACTGTACAAACAACCATTGTGTTGCTTAAATTGCCATAGTTTTGAGAGTACTGTATGTACTGCTGTTCCAAAATGCCTTTGCCTTCAAGCTGTTTCTTATTGTTCTCTTACCTGCGACTAGCTAATATTTCTGACAGATATGTGTCTGATTTTTCCTTTTAATAAAAGAACATTCCTTTAAAGGAAAAATATAGTTAGGACTGTCAGTCATTTCTTTGTTTCATGTTATTTGGTAACAAGATCTCATTTGTATGAATAATGAAAGTGCATGTTTTCAACAAAAAGAGAATATTCTTCGGTGTGATTTTTCATTGTTCATTTATACTCTGTGCCAGCTGGGGAACGATAGTGTTTGTTCTCACCTGGTATTATCCATGTTAGTCCTGAAGTAAGGGCAAAAGTCAGAGTGAAAACCGTGCACAGAATTCCAGCAGGAATGTTGCTATCTGGAGTTGTGCTTATAAAACGAAATAAGTAAATAAATCTGTGAATTTATGAACCTTTATGGTCAGATATTCAAATCTTCATACGTGAGGAAAACGCCAGCACACAACCTAAGCCACAAAGTTGCTGTGGATTTTCTCACTGGCATCAGCAGAACTGGCAGCCTCTTCTCAGCTATCAGTGTGTTACTCAGAGCTCAGCGACACAAAGCCACTGACAGCTCTCCTGGAAATTCCTGAGCTCTGAGACGACGGGTTTCTCTTTATCAGTGTGCTGTGTCTGAAAGCTGCCCAGCCTGTTTGTGTGCTTTGCTCTTCATGTGCTTTCATACCCACTAGAGTACCCTTAATATTCTCACGGGGAATAGGGTTTTCTACCGGAGTGGCATCCTTCCATTACTCCTGGGAAATGTTCAAGTCTCCCCTGTCCTCCCTTTCAGCTTTGTTTTTTTCTTTTGTTTGACCAAAACAAAACTCTGGATCAGTTATCCCTAAAAAGGCTTGATCATACTCTTAAGTATATCCCAGTTGTATTTTTAAACGTGTAGGGTGTAACGTCCTAGAGTTTTTGAATGGGCCTGATCACATAGCATTGGACACTAAAGACCCCCCTCCCTGTCCCTGCTCAGTGCAGGTTAAGGCCCCGGAAGAGCTGCAGTGAGTTAGTTATACAGCCTCATTCATTCCCCCAGCAAGATCACGGAGTGTGCCTGACAGAGTCATCGAGACCTCGTGTCATAAGACTGTCAGGAAGGTCACAAACTACAGCAGGGCAGGACAGTGGCACAGTGGCCAGTGTTGCTGCCTCACAGTGCTGGCACCTGGGTTCAGGTCCGGAGTTTTGTCTGTTCTCCACACGTTCCCCATGCTGGGTTGCTGCCAGGCGCTCTGGTTTCCTCCCACAGTCCAAGAACATACTTGTAGGTTCATTGGCTTCTGGGAAAACTGGCCCTGCCGTGAGTGTCTGAGTATCTGTGTCTGTGTCTGTGTCGTTCCGTCCTGGCGTCCCCTCGGGGATGTGCCCCGCCTAAGGCCCATCGCCTGCTGGGATAGGCTCCAGCTCTGTGACCCTGAATTGGATAAAGGTGTTAGAAAATGGATGGCTGTAAATTATTTGCCATTTTGAGCCATTTCTTGAAAGACGTAATTGGTTTACACAACAGGGGGTGGAAGGCTTGTTCCACACTCCCGCAAGCCTTTGTGCAAAGACATGCCTCCCATTCTGAACTTTAACTGCACACTTTAGTCTCCACTGGCGTCTCTGCTCATTTTGAAGATGTCCACTGAGTTTACTTTGTCAAGGCCCTTGAGGATTTTGAATCCTTGGGATAAAGTCCCTTTGAAGTCTTGAGCGTTCAAGGCCTTTCAGCAGTCAGTGTAGGACATTCCTCTGAATGATTCCCAGGAATGTATCTGGTTGCCCTTCTCTGGAGGGATTCCTGTCGAAAAGGGAATGAGTTTTCTGTCCCTGTGCACTGCAGCCTCCCACTGTGCTGAATCTAACAGGGCTCCTGTGTTTTGGATAAATGTCAAATGTAAAAAAAATGAATAGGTTAAAAATTCAAATTTGCCATTTCTAATTTTTTTGATGCCTTTAACTTAGATTACTGGCTCTTAATTCTCTATTGTGTTTGTAAACAGTACTTTGTGAAGGTGTCCTAGAACTGTTTGATTGATACCTGATATGAGCAATTTCAAGACAAGAGCCAAGTGAGCCTGATTTGTAATGATTCACTGTCTATGATAATAATAGTCATCATTATTATTGTCGTAATTTTAAAATGAACCATTTTGTACTAGAGTTTTAATTGATTTGTTCATTTAAGAATTTTATTAGAATATTATTAGAAAGAGAGGAGAGTCAACCCATTTTTTAAAGAGGAAAACTGTTTTTCGGAAAGAGTAAAATCAACAAAATCGATTTCAATATTTCCAACTACGCAGGAGCATTTCAAATTAATGGCTTTTCGTGTGATGGTCTTTCAGAAAAACGAACTCCCCGACACCACCTTAGTAAACTTATACATTTCGCATACATGTTCAGACTTAATTCCAACTGTTAAGGCAAAGGGTGTGTAGCGGTGCGCTTGATTTCCAGTACATTATTGAACTGTACTGTAAAAACAACTGTTGGGCTCTGTACCAGTCCATCTCTGCACTGGAGGCGTCCTGTTAGTGCAGAACACCGAATCAGCACCGGAAAACAACAACAGTTTGTATTATTCGTGCCCATTCTTTGTGGTCTGACAGCAATGTGTGCGCTATGTCAATCAGCTCATTGTATGAGGGCACAAGTAGTTCATTTATCTGGGGGGTCGCATGGGCCGTCTGTCGCTTCAGGTGAGAGGCGGGACATACCTGTTCACTCCCAGCCTATCACCGCTGTTTGCTACAAGCCTTGGGGCCAATCAGCAGCTAGCTCGTCCCTCCTACAACACAGAGGTACTCCGCAGTAAAAGAATTCACAAAGTGTACCTGCAGCTATCTGCAAAGCAGGGTAAAGATCTTTTACTTTGGAATAGGAATTCACTTTTTTTTGGGGGGGGTGAGGGGAAGATTACTAGTGCCGATACATTGAGATACAAGATAATAAACTCAAACTGATTGCACCTGGCTGGAGCACTGTACAGCGTGCGCGCTGTACCTGTCCGGTGATCAAGTTCAGAAAGAAGTGGAGTAAAAAAAAAAAAAGCAGTAGTACCTGTAGCTCGAGTTCTGCCGTCTCTTCCTCAGTTCGTTCCTACACCTCTACCTGCACAGACTTGAAAGTCCAGTTTCACAAGCAAGAACAGGAGAGGGAAAAAAGGGGAGTTTGTTGGAGCAAATATGTCACAGGAGACGGACAAGTAAGTGATCATACTAGTTTGGGATCTACTTTGAGGTTTACCATGGCTTGTTATGGGACAAGTTTTTCGACCGTTTTTTATTTTATGTCTTAATCTGTCGTTTTACATGATTTATCGAATTTTTAATTCATCCCATGTGTCATTGCTTCCCAGTTTTTTTTTTGTTTTAGTTTGTTATGGAATTTGACAGATCAAAACGTGTGCTCTGATGCTTTGGCCTCATGAAGTGGATGTCAAAAGGTTTTGGTGGTCAGTGAGTGGAAAAGTAATTGCTACGTTGAACTGGAGCCAGAAACCGGCCATCTTCGCTTCATTAGATATCAAGGAGTTGCCCAAGTTTGGGCAAATTAATTTTAGTCACTTTTGAACGCTCGATGTGATCTTTGTTCTGAGAGTCTTAAGTCCGAATATGAAAAATAACTTCGTAACTTCTCAACGGATCGTGTCTTCCATAACTATTCTCTCACATTTTAATGCCGTAACGATTTCGGGGGAAAAAAATGTAGAAGTCAATGTCTGATAATTTTTCAGCGTACCGAACCTTCATGAAGAGAGAAATTAGTCATAATCGTTTCTCCACAATGCAAATCATTTAACTGCTTCGCTTATGCCAGTCAGCTAAACTCTTTCTGGAAAGTTTGTATTCATGCAAATAGGTTACAGCGCGATTAACAAACATAAGGCACTAACTTAACACAAAGGTTTCGGTGGGTGAATTGAAAGAATTCAATACGAAAAAGAAAAATAATATTGACATTAATCGAAACCATACAAAAATAGTCCTATTAAAATTGTCTACACGTTAACTGTGATAAGGGTCAATAGGTCTTAAGCGTGCAGTATTTCGTAGTAATTTGTCTTTTTGTTTTATTTTCGGTTTTGGTTGACGGAATATATTAATTTAATAAGCTCAAATATTTGTTTTTATATTAGGATAACACGTCCTGATATGGAGTTTTGGTCAGAAAAGGAAGATCCATGATGCATCTGAATTTAATTCCGTTTCCGTCCACTTAAATATACTATGAGCTGAAAATAAGTTTATTGAGATTAGTACAGTCCGAGGAATTTATCTACAGAATTTACTTAAATGTGAATATTTACGTATTGCTTCAACTTTAAATGCATGCGAAGTTTTTTTAAATTAATCTGTAATTATTTTAAGTGTCCCTTTCTTCGCAAAATTGCCAATTCACTTGGTTGATCACATTTCCTTAATTTCATTTTAAACGTAAGAGGAACTAGGAAGAAACCGCATAGGAATAAATGTGTTTTTATGATAGTGTAATTGTTGTCAGACGGCTGAACACATTTTTTACTTTGCTTGAAGTGAACAATATCGTGCATTAATATATGGTTTCTCAGTGTCATCTGACCGTTTTTGTGTGAATACTTTCCAGAATAAAAGAACAGGGTGGGTCACTTAATTCCTGAAATAAACCTCGACACACCTATTTTGTCTCAATCTGTCTCGAAGGACAGGGATAGTTTTAGCACCCAGGTTCTTGTGACATCACGGTTTTTTATTTTCGTTAAAAGTTGAAAGCTAATGTGTTTATAGAGGATTCCCACGGACTAAAAAAAAAGCAAAACATAAAATCCGTGACTAAATTCAATTTAGCACTGCGAAAAAAAAACAATGCGAGAGACTGGTGGCTTTTTAGTCGTAAAATGAGTTATTTGTATTAAATAAAAAAACTAATGTTGCACGCTTTAAAAAAATAATAAAATACCGTTTGTACCAATCTGATACACGGATCTCTGCGTCAGACATCAAAGCATCTATCGGCAAAAATTTACAAAACACAGAAAACTCTCTTTTTCAAAGCAGAATGCCAGGGCTTCTCCTAGCTACATGTGTTCTCTTAATCTCGCCGTCGTTTGGTCTTTAATCCTTGGGAGAATCGCTAAGACGCACGGCACTGCGCCTAAATGGGAAACGCATTTCGCCTCCTCCCGACTCTCTCTGCGCGCAGGGAAACAAAACCTCCGATGGTGAAAGAGGAGAATGTCGGGAAGGGCCGAGACACGACAGTCCTTTGTTATCCCGAGATCTCCCCTAGGGCCCCTTCTCAATGTGGTCTCCCTCTGCAGGGTAGCGTTATCTCGGACATCTCGGGGTGGAGTTGGGTGGGCACGGAGAAGCTGGGAAGGGAGAGGGGGTGCACCGACATGAGCTGGTGCCGACACGACAGCCCCCGCTTCGCCGCTGCGGGGAAAAAAAAACGAAGAGCCATTGCCGAGCAAGAATCAGAATATTTCCACGGCTTTTCACCTTTTCAGCGAGGTTTCGGTGTTTTCATTCACACACAGCTCGTTATATTCTTGCTCTGAAATTCGGACGGGTGCGCTAATCTTTAACCTATTAATTTTTTAAAACATTGTTTTGTGTGTGTGTGAATGTTATAGGCTGGTGATTTTATGCACAGCAACTTAAAGAGGTTGCACCTGCCCCTTTACCCCTCCTTCTTTCGTTTTGTTGGTTCCCATGTAGAGAGTTGGGTTTATGGGAGCAGTCTGGCACATATACTGTGCTAACCTGGGAGTAGACTGCAGGACTCTCAGGTGGGGAAGAGCACCAATATTAACCACTACTCCTTCTTACTGCAGCAAAAACACTGCAACACCTGGAATCTTCCGACTGCAGAGAAACACACTAGCCATTACACCCTGCCCCTACAATGAGCATAACGTTAATTTTTCTTTTCTTAGACGACGAAGAGAGGTGAAAACATGACGTACAGTCATGAGGCAGGTTAGACAATACAGAAAAAAGCTTAAAGGAAGAAAAGAAAAGGTCGTGAAGCACGTGAGGGTTACAGAACATAAGGTAATCTGAGACTGCGGACACAAGGAGGCCAAAAAATAGAGACTATTCCCTGTAGAGTTTCACAGCGTACTCTTGTCTGTTTATTTCATAGTTTCTGCTTCAGCAGAAGAGTTGCTAACTCTTTACCCATTGTCAAAAGCAAAAGGGAGACCCTGCTTTCAAATCAGCATCACAACATCAGATTTTACTACACGAGGTTCTAAATCAGAGAACTTTGTGAAAAGTCTTTAATCCCCCGATTGGTAAAGGATGGTTCACCTTTCACATGATCAATGGGCAGAACGATTGTGAGTGCTGAAGTCTGACATGCATTTTGTAATGGGCTCTCAGAGGTCTCATGCGATCAACATATTGATTCGATTGTTCTGTAGGGGAAACCGGATCACTGCTCCATTATTCTTCACAAGAATCGAAAATACAAAGAGGTTCACGTGTACCGATGGCTTTATTTCAAATGTCATTCAACTAAAATTACTTTCTTCTCCTTTAAAACCCAGTGCTTCTCTCACAGTGCTTACAGACAACAAGTGTGCTAGTTAATGAACTACTGTAAGTTTGTTAAAAATGAAATTAACATTTGCTTAACGGACTCTATGGATGTCAAATAGTAATTGCTAGGTTTTCAGAATTTGTCTTAGTGAATGAGTGGGAACAAATTGTAAGAGGTTTGCAGTTATTTTTTTAAAGCGAGTGACCCTCATTTGCCGTTGGATGGAAATGCATTAAATAGGACTGTTCAAATCTTATCACTGTACCACATTTTGCGGTCTTACTCTGTTGCTGATCTCACCAATATTCTTATTTAAGATCACAGATTTTTTTAGGAGCAAATGCACATTGTAAAACAAATGGCTGGTTCTCTCGATTCAGAATGGGGTGTAGATGATCGGCAAATGTAAGTTAAATAGGCTTCTGTTTGAAATGTCAAATGATACTAAGGTACAATAATGTACACAGAGTTGAAAATAAAACAAATTAGTAATGGACATTAAATTGCTCTTTATTTTCTCCCACATGAACAAAATGCTGAGCACAGTGCCCTGGCAGAATGAAAGAAGTGCTTGAATGGGATCTGTTTGAGAACAGACAGGGGGATGTCACAGTGGTAAACAGGGCAAACAGTTTACTGGATAAAGTAGTAAGAAACCATATCACACCTGCCCCAGCCAGCCAGATCAGTGTCCTGTGTTATTTGTTTGACACAGGTGTACACCAGTGTTACAATGGCTGCGGTAGGAAGCTTTAACAGGATTTCAGCTGAATTCTTCTTTCTTTGATACTTCATAGTGGGTAGAGCGAAACACATGTCAGAGCTGCAAAGAGCCGAGACAATAGAAAACAATGGGCCTTCATTAAGCGAAGAATAAATATCCCATTTGGTCAGATGTTAGTATGGATTATAATGCTTTGGTTTACTATTTATCCAACATTTAGTTGCTCAAATGCACCGTGTAAACTTTAACGTCTTTGTGACGTACAGCTTAATGGACATGCTGATCACGGTTCTGCTTTAGATGAAGTCTGATAATAAATAAATCGGTCAATTGGTTGTGCATATGGATGTGTCAAGACAATGGGCTATAATCCTTTGACGCGGTTTGGCTTCAAAGTAGTTTTTCTGAAATTATGCAACCTTGTAAGGTGTTTGAGACTTTGTAAGATTGTTGTTGAAGACTTTTTATTTAGTGACTTTATTTTATATAGCACTTTTAAAAGTGGCTTCCCAAAGCACTTTACAAAATAAAGCACACAAGGAGAGAAGATAGGAAAAATTAACGCAAAGTACAACACAGTTTCGGAATGCAGTAGGAATGTAAGCCAATTAAACCAATTAAATAAAAGCCCTTCTAAAGATGACGGTTTTGATTCTGGGTTTGAAGGAGCTCAGGGAAGGTGACTCTCTGTTATCCTTAGGGATAGAATTCCAGAGCTTTGGGGCGCAGCAGGAGAAGGTCCTGTCATTGGTAGTATGTAGATAGGCTTGTGGGACAGACAGGAGACCAGAATTGGACAAACCAAGGAGGTGGGGAGTAGGAAGATAGTAAGCCAGACAGGTACGGTGGTGTCAAGCCTTTTAGAGCCTTATAGGCGAGCATGAGGAAGCTGACACAAAACCGGATAGGAAGCCAGTGCAAAGACTCCAGGACAGGAGTAATTTGATCAGCTGTGATCACCTAGTCAGGATTCTGTTGGCTGAATTCTCGATATACTGCGTTTTTTTCAAGGTGCGTTGAGATAACCTAGCAAACCGTTAGAATGATCAAGTCGAAGGAACATGTAAGTGTTGACCAGATTCAGTCAGTGGCAGCATAAGACGTGGTCTGGCGATATTTCCGAGATGGAAGAATGATGTTTTTCCAGTATTTTGCACATTTAGGTTCAATGTCAAATATCACCCCCAAGCGCTTCACTTTAGATTGAAATTCAGGTACACTGCCAACCACGGATAGGGTGACTGCATTGGCTTTAAAAACCTGATGAGAAGTCCTGAGAAACATGACGTCAGTCTTGTTGCTGTTCAAGTGAAGGAAATTTTCGAGACAAGTGATAAGTGAACTTTGTATTACAGCTTAGAAAAAGAATCCGTCATGCACTATGAGCTACAGCTACATAGAAAAAAAAACCTTTTAAATTCATTTTGAGAAAGACGTTGTGTGGTGTTCCACAGACACGCATGTTTACTTTGGAGAAACAATACACTGTAGTGGAAAAGAGAACTTCCTGGTGTAGCACTCGTCCCCTAACGTTTCAGGAGGTTTGCCCGTGTACTAAGTGGCCTTCTTTGTGTCCCAGCAAGCGGTTGGTGGTAGTTGTGCCAAACGACAACTCCTTTCACCCCAGACGGGCCTACACCAGCGAGGATGAGGCATGGAAGTCGTACCTCGAAAACCCCCTCACTGCCGCCACCAAGGCCATGATGAGCATCAATGGGGACGAGGACAGTGCGGCGGCTCTGGGCCTGCTGTACGACTACTACAAGGTGGGCGTCAACTCAACGCATGGCAAGCTGCACCTGAAACCGAGGACAGCGGGCACTTCTTCACCCGAAGGGTGGTGAGGTTTAGTGGAACAAGCTACACAGCCATGTGGTTGAAGCCGATACCCTGGTTTCCTCCATGAAACAGCTGGATGTGATCCTTGTATCAATTCTCTACTAACTACCAAACGGGTCAGATGGGCCTCCTCTCGTTTGCAGCTGTTCTTACGGTGACAAGGTGCACAAACAGTGAAACTTATCAGTCCAAGTGGGAGCCACTCTAGATCCCTGATAAGGCACTGAAACAGCAAATGCTTTCTAGGCAGTAAATCTCCTGGTTTGTTGATCAGCAATGTCACTAAGCTTTGAGGTGACTGAGGCATGAATTGAGGAAATTAATTCACAATTAGTCAATAAACTGCCCTTCCTCTTTTCCACTTCCTCCCACAGCCTGCTTGCTCCAAAGCTTCCAGTCATTGCAATTGAAGTTCTTGGGTTTTAATCAACCCACCAGGACGCCAACACACTCTTCCCAAAGGAAACAAGGCTCGAGTTGCAAAGCAGCTAATGTGCATTTTCCGAAAAGCAGAAAGCAGTGCCACACAGACTGAGTTTACTGGGCTGCAAAGTGAGCAGCGGGAAGATTATTAAAAGTAAAAATATTCTGTAATCAATGTACTATAGACTACATGTACATTTGTGGTTCAGTTTTTGCCTTTCAGGTCAGTGTGTAGATAGAGTGAGAGAGAATCATTAGGGGAGATAGACAGAGGGAGATACACCTCAACAAAATGTTTATTTCTGAGAAAGTAATTCAACTGTGATTTTTTTAGGTTCCTAAAGAAAAGAGATTATTGCCTGTAGCCAAAGTCCCCGTCGTTGAGATCCAAGAAGAGCATGAGAAGAGGTCAGTATTTTACAGTTTTCACAACATAATTAGACCAGCAATCGGAAAATCGAAACGTCTTATTTTTCAAGTGTTTTCTTCTTTTTTAATACCATAAATTGCTTAAAGTTAAAAAAGTTGTATTTAGTTTTGAAATTCAGGTTGTATGGATTTTTAGAAATTGTACGTGAAATGTCATTTGTGAACCATGTTAGGAAATGAACTACAGCTTCCCTTTGCTGAAAGTACATTGAATAACAGAGGGAAGAAAAACAGCCACAGAGAAGTTTCTGGTTCTATGTTTCCTGCCTGAATGAGTCAACAGAAAAATGTTTAACTGCTGGTTAATGGAATAGATCTGGCTATAATTGGAATACATTTTCTTGAGAATTATTTGAGAAATTCAGTTATTTAAAGAAGAACTAAAAAAGAAAACAAAAGGAAAGCAATTTCTCATGTTTATAAAGAACGTTTCTTCCTCTATTTCAAAAGGAAAGCTCCTTTGCATATGGTATTTCAGATAGATGTGGAAGTATTTGCTGGAGCAAATGCTTTCTTTATTCTATAGATGTGAAAAACATCAATTCATCTTCTGAATTTCAAAGCACTTTTAAGTCCCTGGTGTTATTTTAATCATAACGATTCCTTCATTTCTTTATGACATGGATGCATAACATTCACCGAAATGCGCTGCTCTCTTTGAGCTATGGATGTGGAGTAGCTGTACCTGCCTTGAAAGGGACTTATCTTTGTCCTTCGGCTGTCTGGCATTACTTGAACAAAATGTGCCCCACATTTTCGCACTGCGCCCATTAACGCTGGCTGCTTTCAAGAACTGTCAGGGTAGAATTGTTCGTTTTTGGTGTTTTTAGCCTGCTACAGCGTGATTAAAAGGGATCCTCCTATTTATGAGTTCCTCAGAGCGGTAACAATCAAGAGTATCAACCTGAACACGATTTCTATCCTGTCAGAATGTTATCTGCAGCCTCTGAGATAACAACCTCAGGCGCCATTCTTCAAACGCCCTCCTTCTCGCTGGTAACCGTCCTCATGTTGAAGCTGTTCAGGTGAACTCAGCGGGCTGCCTGAAGCCTGAAATGTCGTGTGCTGAGGCCTAGCAGACAGGCGGACCAGTAACCAGCCTGTTGGTAATGACCGTGTGTGACAGGAGCTGTATGGGCGGGGCTGATGGGCAGGGGGACAGCGACGGCGTGGACAACCGCGTGCAGGTGCTGAAGTCGGTGCCGGTGAACCTGTCCCTGAACGCGGACCACCTGGACTCCCCCTCCAAGAGGGACCCGTACGGCGCGGCGCCCCCCCCGGAGGGCGGCGCGGCCGGCGGGGGCGTGCCGGCGGTCACGGTGGTGAAGGCCGAGGTCTACGCCCCCGTCTTCATGGGCCCCGGAGTGCACTACTCGCGGGCCGAAGGCGAGGAGCTGCCGCGCGTCGTCGTCTACGAGCAGAGCCCCTACGACGTGCCCGCGGTCAGCCACTCGGCCTACATGAAGGACGACCAGCGCAGCACGCCCGACAGCACGTACGAGGACTCCTACAAGGACGAGCAAGAGGTGAGGCCGGAGCAGGCCGATCTGTGCCAGGCGCAGGCCACCCTGCGGGACACCAGGACTAACGGAGCCCGAGCTTTCCCACGATGTCTGCCATGTGCCCTTTCTCCACTAGTTCTGGGACAGGCGATTCAGCTCCAATGTGCAGTTTATTTGCCTCATTCTATGATTTGAAGTTCTTAATAAGCGAATACACTGGGTCTCTGTCAGTTTATGCCAGAACAGAAGCCCTTCTTGTAAGAGAGTGGGTAGAGAAGAGAATTATGAAGGGGAACACTATGATTAACTTCAGAAATATGATTTATATATCGTAATTTCTATATTTCTGAATCTTGAGCTCATTTGCAATAATTCCGTTCACGTGCCAAAATTACAGTACAGTACTCATTACTTTGTGAGGAGGATATGAAGTCGTTTGATTAAAGTCCTCTCATGGCTTGACATGTTTCGCTCGTTCAGCGATCGCTCTTTTACACTGGTAGCATCATCTTTGCTGAGAAGTTGGGAGGCGCTTGATTCTGTAGATGATTTTTTTCCGCATCTACAGAATCAGTATCTCGTGTTCTCGTTGTTTTAACAGAAATATCGCACGTCGTCTTTGGGGGCTGAAGAATTCATCTACGATCCTCCGGGAGTGTAAGTGTGGCCTTCTGGACTTTCCATAAGTTCAGGAGCACCTCCTTTTCATTTGGATAGAACAGTCTGACCAATGTGACTCACAGTACTGGAGAAGTACTGCTGATTCAAACGCACACCGCACCCAACCCAGTCAACATCATCGTACCCTGCGTAGAACATTCATTCAGAACTAGGCAGGGTCAGTTGCTCAGCACTGATCGTCGGTATGACATCAGACGTTCAGACCAGTCAGGAGACGGAAAAAGGCATTGTTTGATGTTGTTCTTGTTTTTCTCGTCTGGCACAGAGACACCTTCCAGTACACATTAGAAGCGACAAAGTCTCTTCGGCAGAGGCAAGGGGAGGGGCCAATGACCTATCTGAACAAAGGACAGTTCTACGCCGTGACGTTGAGTGAGACGGGAGCCAACAAATGCCTTCGACACCCCATCAGTAAAGTCAGGGTACGTCCTCTCTCGAATCGGGGGACGCAGAGGCGTTTCGAGTACTGCATGGCGCCATGGGAAACGCGCGGGTGTGGGACTAGAATGCAGGAAAGCGGTTCTTTGAGGTGAATCAGCTGCCAGTGTGATTGAAGCTGTGCCTGGTCAATACAGCGAAGGTGAAACCTCTAAGGTGAAACCACATTGCAGCTGTTGCGGTGTTGGTGGACCAGTAGGTGGCAGTCTTCTCCCTGGACTTAAATTTCCCAACCAGGGCCTGTTGGTGCAAAATATCTTCCAGATGAGGCATTTAACCAAAGTCCTCCTGCTTAACTGGTTCCCGAAGATCCCATGGCGCTGTTTGCAAGAATACAGGTTTTTATCCCAGTGTTCTGGCTGCATTCCTCTTTGTGTTTGTTCAGCCTGTCTGTTCTACCTAAACCTTCCCTTTAACTCAACCGGCGAAGTCAGTTCTCACTTCTCCATCTGACATGCTGTGTAGTGGAACGTCAGTGCTGTACAAAGGGGATCCCCTCATATTTCTTTGGGGAGAAACCTGTAAAAAAAAGCAACCAGTTGCCCATCAGTTTTAATAATAGCTGTACAGAACAAAACAAGTCCTCAGTCACCTGCCAACCAACAAATAAACCACGACAGGAACATTTTGGTAGCGCTTTCTCACCCCATCTGTAATTATTTCACCTTTTTATGGTTCTCTTCTTGTCACTGGCAAAACAAGAGCCATGGACTGAAAGCTGAAGTGGGAACGGGAAACGCTATGAGCTCCGTGTTCTCTTACTCCCACAGAGCGTCATCATGGTGGTGTTCAGTGAAGACAAGAACCGGGACGAGCAGCTGAAGTACTGGAAATACTGGCATTCGCGCCAGCATACAGCCAAGCAGAGAGTCCTTGATATCGGTAGGTCACAGGCCTTTCTTGCTACCTCTGGACACTGAAGGCCCTGCTGTGCTTTTCACAGGAGGCTGTCAGACAGGGCGATCACTGGCAGTATTTGCAGTTGCTGGACTCCCTGTGTGAGAGGACACATTGGGTAGCCATACACTTCTAGAGGCTGGGAGGCACAGCTTTGTGCTCTCAGGACAGAGATCTTTGCTGTAGATTTGCCGTGTACCATTGAAGTGCCTTCTGGGTAGAGGGACAGCTCTTCTCCTCACAGAGCTCTCGTCTGATTAATATCTCTAGGCTGCACGTGAGCTATTTGAGATTGTCCTAGTGGCTGTATTAAAATAACATGTGGCCTATACTGCATTTATTACAATTAAAATAATTCTGTTTTTTTAGTCGTTCACAGAGGAGATCTGTTTGGCTTTTAATAACTTTCTCCTACCTTGCTGTGCCAATGTGCTGTGTGATTCTTTAAGCGATACTGCGTGGTACATTATATGTTCAGTCAGTGCACGGTTCAGCCTGAGGAACCCCTTTCGTTGAGAGAACATGAGGTTGTCAGGTCATTGTTACACAGATGGTGAAAAAAAAATGGGTTTTTAATAATTGCGCCTTTTCACCATTGCAGAGGACGATTATCATTTCAGATATTATGCGATATTAAGAGACCTGATAATGAGTTTTGTATAATGGATGTAAATATCATATATTCTTTGAAGTATGAGACATTTGCCAGTCAGACGTATTCGTGCCCGGAGTGAACAGTTTGAGGAACAGACCACGGACAGTTCCACAATTGCTTATTTGTGGGATTTAAGGTTTTGTGTGTGTGAAGCCTAACTGAAATTTGAAACAAGCTACAGCATAAACAGCCTGTGAAGCAGAGGTGGTGTAAGAGATTCTGAATGGCAAAAATGTGTGACTTGTACAGACAAAATTAGGAATGTGCCCCCCCACTCCTGCCTTGAAGAATTCAGTGATGCATTTCTCCCTGACAGATGGGCACCTGGGAAATGAATTCAGGAATTCAGTATGTGAGGAGTCACATTGTGAGAGTCTCGGGGAATGGGCAGCTCAGTACAGTTTTAAAAACTGTTCCGCTGGCAGCTTCAGAAACCCCAGCGACAGACCATTTGGTGTCTGAAGAGATTATAAATATGTCTGAATTAGATAAACTCTGTGTCAGTACTCAGAAAGAAAGGGATCTTAACATGTACCCTTCAAGAGGTCTGCAGAGGTCTCCTGATTCAGTTGTAGTGCAACATGTTCTTCAGAATTTCAACATTAAAAGATGTGAGACTAAATACCTGGGTGTGACAATGTGTAGCATCACATTTGTTTGCATAACAAGTACAATGTGCATCAGTCAACAAATATCTGGCTGAAAATATGATCATTCCCTAAACTTGATGTAATATGAAAGCACATTTCTCGTACAAAAACACAGCATGTGAACATCCTTTTTACAAGGAAAAGGTCCCAATCAGTTTAATAATGCTGTGTTGAGATATTGGGTTAAAAAAGTGTGTTTCTGGAGAAAGCTCCCGAATCTAATCTTTCATATATAGGCAGTGCTCAGCATTTTTACATTGCATGGAATGGGCTAAACAACAACATGTTTACTGGTGTTACTCCATGCCCAGTACTTACTGGAATAACCCCTGTTGTCCAGAGGTGCTGAAGGTCTCTCAGTTGTCTGAGGCAGTTTGTTTTTTTCAAATCTTGTTAATTATAAATTATGAAATGTCCTTTTGCTCATGAAACAGATCTGCGAAAAGACATTTTTTTTCACTCCCGATGTTGTAATGTGTCCCAATGATACGTGTGGGATAATGACAGCGGGATGTCTTTGCCCGATAACCTAAAACCAGGGTAACTGTTTGTCCTCTTCAAGCAGGGCCAAGGCAAACAAAATGCAACTGCTGCTCACAGTGCTCGTCTTCATTTTAAAACTGTTTTGTAAGTCACTCTCGATAAAGGGTTTTGATAAGATGACGGTATTAATCTTATTAAGAAATAACAACAATAATAATCATAATTGCCCTTGTTTTTATTGTGCCCAATATTTTGCTCTCATTAAAAAGAAGCGGCTTGAATTCCAGTTTGAAAGGCGAGTGTCTGATATCATGCGCACACTCTTGCTGGCCAGCGGGATCCCCTGCAAATTGTTTGTTCTAGACAGACACCGTACAGCTCCTCTGAACAGTGAGAGCTCTGGGAGGTGCAGCGAACTGACTCTGACAGCGGTGCCACGTCAGTCCCCGCCCGGCTAGGCAGACTCACTGCCTCTGAGCCTGAATAATCCCTTCTTCTCTCCCCCCTTCCTTTCTGCATTGAGAGCCTGACCCCTCCCGTCGCAGAGCGATAGGTGGTGACAGAGGCAGGGTGGTGCTCTGCACATCTCTGTGCCATGACAGTGCTACCCCGACGCGGTGATCGATTTCGGTTGTAATTGATCCGGTCGGGAATAGTTGGATTGAGCCCAATCGGCCAGAGGACTGGCAGAATCTGGAAATGTGGCAATCTGCGGGGACTGAGGATTGAAGATGAAAAGTTAAGCAGGACAGTATTGAATTCCACATTACAGTGCAGAGCAAAAACAGTTTATATGTGGCTGGGGGTGAGCAATTAAACTTGACAACAGCTCAGCAAATAAATAGCACAGGCAGGCAATAGGATATCCTACAGGACCATAAAGCCACCAGGATTGTTCTGTAACAAAGGGACATGTGGCAGACATACTCCGCAAGGCTACTGAACATCACAAGAACTGTATCTATTATGACTCTATCAAATTCATAAAGGTAGAATCAGGAAAATGACAAAATCGTTTATTGGAGCAAGTGGCGTGCCACTTTCATGGGACGGGTCCGACAGGGGTGAATTCATTTTGATGATTTTCTTTTTGACGTATTCAGCTCTGGCCTACTGGGAAAGTCACAGGCTCATACTGTAAAGTCACTGCTGGAACCAGTGCAAGCTGGATGATGGGGACACATGCTTCACTCCGAGATGCAGCTGCTGTCTAGTGGGATGCTGTCCCATTCCTTCTATCCAGCCCAGAAAACCATGCAACGTTTCACTGGATGACACGTCACCCCAGATTTTCAGAGGGGCACAGGCCTGAGAAACAGGGTGGCCATGGCACGTCTGTCACGTACTGTACATGTGTTGCAAGTGAGGTGCCAGGACATGTTTGCACATCTTGCCAGGTTTTAAAATGCCAACTGTGAACATTACAGCCAGGGAGCAACAGTGCACTGGCTCAGTCCAGCCGCCAGCCTACAGGAAAGTGTTGCTCTCCTGATAAGTGGGGCATGCTGGTTCTTTTCGTGTGTTTTTCATTTCTGATTTACACCAAGCTTGTCATTTGGCAGACTAAATCACCTCATGACCTGAGCCCAATCAACTCATGCAAAAGTCACACTAACCCATGTACTGTCTATGACGGTCGCTCAAGAATGATCAATGAAAACTGACACTAAAAGCCTTTAAATAAAACCATTATTACATATACTTTATTATTCTTAAGATATGTATGCATAAATAGAGTGATCAGCTTCTATTAGTGTTCAGTGTACATATCCCTCATACCATGTGACTGCAATGTGACACCCTTGTTGTCTTGGAAAAATTTGAATAACAGTTAAGCCCGGATTCCTCTTAAAGCCTTTAGGCCATGTCATAGAATTGGAGATTTGAATAAAACCTTTAAATGGAAGTTGAAGCAGGTCTCAAAACAGGCCTCAGCTTGCTGGGTCACAAGGAGGTGGTTGAAAACTAGTGCCAATCTGCTGATTGAGTAATATAAGGAAAGCATTCGAAAGAAAATAAGAAGATGTATTAATGTTGAGTTCTTGAAGTAAGAATGATACCATTTCTATTGGTGGTCATCGTGAAAAAGCAAAGGCTCAAAAGCCTAATTGGTGTTGTCAGTGGAATACATCAGTAGAATACTGTGGCAGCCATGGCCACAGTAGCTGTTGGCTTGCTTGTTCAGACATGTGCATGCAGCCCGCACCTAGAATTGGAGACGTTGCTGGACAAATTCCTGGAGAAGCCATCCAATGACACGAACACCTGGTGACTTAAAGAGGACAGTAGGGCTCCAGAGCATAGTGAATCTCAAAAGGCATCAATCAGGGAGGAATTCGCAATCACTAACCTCTGAAATCTTCTTAGGAAGCACTCGGGCTGGGCAGAGTCTGTGGAAAGTGAGGCCCTCCTACAAAAAAGCAATCACATCCGCTTCGCAGTCAGTGTGCTAAAGTAAGCTAACTTTATCAAGACCTGATAGAAGGCAATGTGTTGACTCAGTAATTGAATGACCTAATTGTTTCTTCTAGTGGTTGTTGCTTGTTTGCTAAGCAAGATAAGGTTTATCGGGTGATAAAGTATGCCCATTGGTTGTGGCCACTACAAAAATAAATCTGGACTTCCTTTTTCACAGAGTTTTGTGTCATTTAGAGACGTTGAAGGGTTTGTCCGAGTCAAAGACAACCACCATCAGAGTGGACTTTTATGCTTTTGAATATTGTGTAAGATACAGTGACAGTTGCTTTTTTTTTTTTGCAGAAGCTTGTGCCAAAATATCTTGAATGTTTTTTCACCTGGTTTTGAGGATGGAAGTTGTTTGGTCATTTACATCAAATAATCCTTGAAAACGGCATTTGATATAAATCAAAGTTAAGGCAAATTACATTGTCTCAGATAGACTGTTACATATTGGTTGCATTTGCATTAATCCCATTCAAAATAACATGCTGGGTTTGGCTGTGCTATATCAAACAATGTGATTATTTATCCTGTCATGCTAAGCAATGTCCAACAGGATAAGCAAACATCAAGCACCGCTGATATTCCCTATAAAGTTGTGCCTCTACTCCATAACCCCCAAAGTAGTTCCTTGGAAGACACGAATACCCCTTTTTCTCTGGTAAAAGAAGGGTGTGTTAACACTTTTGTGCCTTAATAAGAGCGTAAGAGATGCCTGTGGCTGTCAGCTTTGACCCCATATGTGCAAAAGACAGAATTAGAAGACCTTTTATCTGGTGAAACAGTAGGTGCTAGTTAATATCCATTCCCATAATTCATAATGACTGTATGCTCTTAAAATAACAACTGGTGTTCTTGTAAGAAAGGTGGGAAATCTCCGTGATACTGTACAAACTGTAGACCTTGGCTAAGCAGCTGAATAGAATGAACCTGTGTGTCAGTATTTATTACAATTCCCAATGCAATATGAGTTTAGCCTTCAGCAAAAGTAGTACAAATAAATAGGCAGTGACAGCACTATATACTGTATTTATTTGTGGTGCATGGAAAGTGATCACTGCAAATCATGCTTTTTACATCATATGCTGGCTCTCTCTCAAACTTCCACATTTGCTGGAAGAGGGAGTGGGTAATTTTCAAATAGAAGAAAGTTATTTTTCTTTCGTCTCAGACATGAAAGAGCTGATGTCACCCTATGGGAAGATGAAAGAGCAGAATACTTTAAGAAAGGGAGTTCTTAGTCTTTTCAGTAGCGCTGTGTTTTCAGCAGGCAGCACAGGACTGGACTGTCAGGACACTGTTTCCTTACTGCACTTGGACATTAAAAGGGCCTGCTGTCCCGACAGATGCCCAGATAGCTGTTTTTGAGATGCATATTTTGCAGGAATTTACATGAACAAATAGCCTCTTTGTTTTGCCTCTTTGGGTATTTTCTTCCCTTTTTGGGTATTACTGTTTACGGTACACACACATTTTCAGTATAGTTCAACCAATAGGACTTCGAATCTGTAGCCAGAGTTCTGGGCAGTCTTGTTGTCCCTGCCCTCCTTTGTTTGAGGATCATAGAGAACCTGCATAGGGAAACAAAAAAGGAAAACAACATAATCAAAGACTCCATTTTCCATCTTCCGTTTACAGCTGACTACAAGGAGAGCTTTAACACAATTGGGAACATCGAAGAAATTGCTTACAACGCTGTCTCTTTCACCTGGGATGTGAATGAAGAGGCAAAGGTAGGCATGCCGATATCAACCCTCTGCTTCTGTAACTTAACATCACAGCAGGACAAGATGGATCGCCTTTTTTTGCACACAGCATTTCTATATTTCTCTGTTTCACAGAGGAAGGAGTTTACGATCCAGCTACATTTGACTGAGGCTGTGTGAACTGTGTGAATTGCGTTCTTCCCATTGAAGAACTGCCTTTCCTCTTAATAGCAATTTACTATCTTTTCGACACAGATGCACTTACAAATTGTAGAATACACATTTTTTCAACTCACAATGTGTATTTTACACTCACTCAACATTGTTCAACCCGGGATCTCCACACAATAACATTTTTGTGTTATGAGGCAAGCAGTTTTCTTTTTAATGTCAAGTTTTGATTTAATGCTATACGTTGTATATAGAACATACTGCCCCATCAGCGCACAAATAATCTCTTTCTCAAGTTTATAATGTTGTAGGAAGTGGCAGTTTCGGTTTTTCTTCCAGTGCACAGCGCTCCGTTTTCATAGAAAGAGACACTCTGATTTGCAAGACGGAATCCGCGCAGCTCTGGAGTTAAGCCCTTGTGATATTGTGGATTAGTTTGCGCTTTCCGAACACAGAGTCCCCGGAGAATGACTAAGCAACCCTGCAAGCTGGAAAAGCGATCTCAACCTCTCAGCTCGCGTAACGTCCTACCCCTGCTGGTGCACAGCGAGTGAAGCACACAATGATACGGGTCAGGCAGGCACTGTGCTACAGGTTAGAAACGTAGCAGGTAGCGTTTTTTTGCGAGTGCTTCCCAAGCGGTGCTCTCGCCGTGAAACACCACGCTGCCTGTCACTCGCGCAAATTCTTCCCATTCAGTTTTGTTCGTATCGGTCTGGTCTGAAAGAAGCTCAGATTTCAGCCCTGGATGGAGGGCACGAGTAAAGGGACACAGCCAACATTGCAGCTTAACAGAAGCGCCTGCAGTGTGTGTGTGTGTGGGGGGTCGCATCACTGGCGCAGCGCAGCTCACACGGGTAGGGCTGCACTCAAGTCCCCGATGAGCTGACTTCTACGTGGCTCCAGTGTTTAATGATGGCTCTGTAAACACACTCTGGAGAGAAATTCAATTCTGTCTCTCTGAATAAATATTTGTGCAGTGGATTTGCCAGCTCTTAAAGGCTGCCACTTTGAATAACAAAACCTCACAAGTTTCGGAGCCAATCAAGTTTCGCACTTGCCTTGGGATAAGGTGCAGGCAAGAAGAATCCCTCTGTAGTACTTCTGCGGTTGTGTGATGTCCGAGGATGTCATGCCGGCTATAGCAGAGCCCTTATTCCCATGTAGTCTGAGTTACAATGAATGTGTTCCAGCTTGAATTCATTTTAACCTGTGTTCCGCCATTTTTCTCTCGCGTTGTGTGCATGGCTGTCCTACAGTACACTTCCACCTTCATACAGGTTGTGAAGCAATTTCTTCTCCACCTGCAAAGTGTGCTGTGGGCCTGCTGGCACAGAATGGCTGCCACATGCACCCCCAGTGTTGATGAGATGAAGTTAATTATAGTATTTCACCCTCCACATTTTCTCCTCACCCGTCTCGATTCAGGGCATTCACAAGTTTTGTAAATGTTGCAGCAGCATGTTTCAGAAAGGGTCATCAGGCTGTGCTGCTCTTGTTTTAATCAACTGCAGATATCCTGTTGACTCGGGCTCTCTGCGGTGTCATTATGAGTCGCTTAGTGATCAGGACCATTTCTTGCGCTGTGCATGACTGGGTCTTTCCAGTCTCCAGTGCTAAGAAAGTGTTTTAAAGGAACCAGGTCAAATCTTCCAAAATAACAAGAAAAACAGGATCTTTCTTTAAGAGAGCAGCTTTACCCCCAGAATTTGATACGATTTTCCCTCCTCAAAGAAATGCATATATCATATTTTATCCCCTAGTTTATTTAATTGACTTGCACCTCTGCACAGCTAATGCGTGATGTGTGCTGAGCTTGCAAATTGCAAGCCTGATATTCATATGTTTATGCACTCCATGTAGTGGTTTATATCAGGGTAGGATTGTTTGCTTTTAGAAAAACACGGATTGGTTTGCGTCTGCATGATTTAATAGGGATCCTCCTTACATCCTTCCATTAAACTTGAGGCGGTTACAAACCTTGCAGTGAGAAATTATTTATTAAGCACTGGTGAGTTCCATGGAATGATAACCATCAACAGTACTGCCTCTAACACAAATTCTGTCCTCCCATAATGTTATCTGCAGCCCTTGAGATAAAGACCAAAGGCACAAGAATTAACGTAGATGTTTTTTTCCCTGCTAATGCTATTGATCTGTGGAGCAGAAATAATGGTGAGGTTGCAGGTTTGGGTGCTTTTCCATTAGGGATGACTGCTTTACTCCTCTGTCTGGCATGTTTCAAGTCCTGAATGGAAGGAGGCTGGTAGTAACTTTTAAGACTGATTCATTTATGATTGGTTCTTGAAGGTTGAGTGGTATTATTATCTGCATCTCCCTGTTCTTTCATCACTTAATACAGGTGCTCCAACATTTTGTTTGTACGTCTCTGCTAGCTGCTTCAGTGTGACTTGCATGTCTTAGTAACCTGACTGTTCTCACACAGCTTCTTGCAGAGCAGTACTGCTGGACAACACAGTGGTGTCACACTACTCTCTGTCACCTTTTTGTGAAGTACTCTATTCCAGATTCTGTGTCCTGTGATACAGGACCTCACTCACTGCTCTGGAGAACATTTTCAGAAGAATACCAAACTGCTACCAAACTAAAGAGAATGCTTGTGAACACAGAATAGGATGTGAAAGACGTAAAACATTTTAAAAGAGAAATAAAAGGCTTGGTTAACTCATCCTTTATAGCTTTATTTTTCAGTCTGGTCTTTGGATAGTATACCGTTCACGACTGAGTTCGAAATACAGAAGTACTCCAAAACAAGCTGTGTGATATTGTTTTCGTGCTTCTCCACCTCCTAGTTTGCAAGCTGTCATCTTATAGGCTGGAATGAGCAGCCCTTAACAAGCCGCCCCCTGCTTTTCAGTGCAATACTTTGTTACAACATGCTTTTGTAATCTTTAATATTCACAGGTTAACGATCAACTACATCGTTACAAAAAAAAAACACACTGGAATGTTCCTTCGTTAAGATGCCCTGCTTCCACGAAAAAAAACGTACAAGCTAAAAAATCGTGCCAGGTTTTCAAGGAACTAAAATTCGTTTCGAGGGTACGATTTGGGTTGTGTTGTGTTGGGGTTACCTCAGAATGTTGTCTGAGAGCTGTGGTTACCTAGCAACCTCAGCCTCAGATGGATGAGATGAATGCTTGATTTGGGCAGAATTGCTCACTGTCCCTTTTTCTCTTGGCAAATATCTGGCAGCCCACAGCAGTGTATTAAAGGTAGACACAGCCATGAGAATGCCAAAGGGAAAACAATACGCAAACTTATGCTTTTCGTCAGTAAGCCTGTTATTTATTTCTAGATTTCAACAGGTATGTCGATACAGATGCACTTGTACAGGAATGAGCTGATACAAGCCATTAAAGGCTTGGCACGCCCTGTGCTTCTGAAGGTGGAATCTGCGATCCTTTAAACAAAAGCAAACACCCCTGTTGTTCTGTGTTGTTCCATGTGCCTTACATGCTGTAATGACTGAAGAACATAATGCGAGCTTTGGGTAATAAAATAATCCAGGCTGACTGGCAAGTTAAAACTTGAAGCAGGCGCTTTCTGATTCGGTGGGAAAATATTTCTCACAGGCAAGGTAGGGAGGAACCATTTCTATCAGCTTGGTGTTTAACCTCTTACTTGCCTCTCGGGTTTGAAATCTTGTTTGTGGTCAGGAAAGCAACCAAACTCATGATTAAAGAGCAGGGTCTCGCATCCGGATTGTTTCCTGTGAGAGGGCTGAAACAAGGGAAGATTTTTGTCGGCTTTGACCATTTTTCAGGCCGTAGCAAAGTGAAGCCACACAGGCCTCACTCACCTTTGATATTTCATTCTTATATCCCTGACTCATCTTCTTCTTCCTTTGGTGAAGGGCACTCAGTACTTTAATACAGTCTGCACATTCAGAGGAGATGAAGTGGCTTCCTGCTGTGTGTCGCAGTTTGCTGGTTTTGGCTGGGTATCCATGGTTACACGAAGACATTGGGGAAAGTCAGAAACGACAGCTTCTCCTATGTTTGCCAGGTGGCAGTGAAAGAGCAAATTTGCTCGTTCTGTTTTTGGTAGGAGAATGGAAGGTGACTAAGTGTGTTTGTACATGTGTGAGAAAACAAATTTTGTTCTTCTTTTTTGCCTCACCAGTCAGATTAAAGTGCGTCTCTTCCGATGTTTTAAAAAGTCACAGTTCTTCTGTTTTTGTGTTCTCCCGGCCTTTTTAGCCCCCAGAGGAAAGCTTCCATTATCATCTGTTACGTCTGTTTCAGCATGCCATTGTCCTAGCAGATGTGTTAGCTTTGCTTGGGTGTGTTCCCGAATGAAATAGCCCTTTTGTAAGGCCAGCTAATGACAAAAACCTGCATAGACTCCATTTCTTGTTCTTAAAACTCCTAACCTAAGTTTAAAAAGGATTAAATAAAACAGCCTGGCGAAATAATGTCAACAACGAACAGATGCCCGTTTTTATTTCTCTTATGTGTATTCACTCCTACTGTAGCTTTCAATATATTAATAAATGTATATCCAGTCCGGTCCTCAGTGGATGTAGGGTATCACGAGTGGCATGCTTGTGCAGATCTACACAGCGGACAGTAGGCTGGTGATGAGATACCTCGATTCTGCTGCCAGGTGGCAGACTGGCAGGTTTTACTGAAGAAACATGCTCTGGTACTGTGCATGCAGTGAGATCACTTTTTTCAAAACTGTAAGTTAAGTGTCTATAAATATAGTTATATTCTAAGGACATAACAATGGTTAGAAGTGAGAGGAATGACATGCAGCCCTTCTCGTCTGTTTGGGGAACTGGTGACCTGCATGGGGTCATTTGAGTTTAACATATAGCTAACATTAGGGGAGAGATTTTGTTTATTACCATGCCTTCCTTCCTTCATTGTCCCAGATGGGACATGTGCTTTGCAGGCAGGTAAATGACAGACTCAGATTTTACAGTGCAAGGTGTGGTCATGACAGTCATTGATTATATTAGCCTTGCGCGCTGTTTGTTTGGTAGAATTTACCAGCTGTAGCTGATGTGCACCAGTAATTTGGCTGCCCACCTTCCCAATCCTATGCAGTCGGTTTTTATTGCGTGAATTTGGGTTTCCAAACCGGGCGACCGCGGCGAATGTTAGATTAGATCCTGAATCTGATGGCTAGTCTTTGCACTTTTGGAATCTCTTTCCTGAAGCTAATGGAGCAGATATCCCCTGTACTGCTCAGGAACAGGCAAGATTGTAGCTATACAGGAAATGGAGGCATTTCCAGCAGTGAGGTTTTCCTTCACTCTCGCAGGGCAGTATAGTCCTCCGGGGTACAGCGGGGCTGTACAGGGGTACAGAGGTTTCTGCTTAGCTCCGCAGCTTCAAACAGAAGCCCAGCCCGCAGTCCTTTCCGAAACGAGCCCCTCCACCACAGCAGCCGGTGTCTCGTCCCTTTCACCCCCGGGGGTGGGGGGGAGGTGGGGGTAGGGGCTCTGAAACTTGATGACGGGGGCTGTCCGACGGAGCAGGGCCGCCGCTAAGGTGCTGGGTGTCTGGTGACCTGGGCGGCTTGTGTAACGTGAGCCCTAGGGTGCCTCCGGGACGGATTTTAATCAAGCATCTGTCCCGGGCTGGTTTTTCGCTCGGGGCCTGAGCCTGTGGATGTGAAAAGTGGGAGATTACTGACTGACTCAGAAAATAGCAGGCTGTTTGCGGAGCCTGTTTTTATATAGCGAGGCCACATGATCACAGGTCTCTTTGTCTGTTGTGATGATGTGGGTGCTGGCTCTGTGGTTTTCTCCACTGGAGTCCATTAAATTCCCCCCCTCCTCCTCCTCCTCCTCCTCAGTGCTGCACTTCAAAGCATAGCATTGTAAATAGAGGTTCGGCAGGCATTAGCTTGTTAACTGATGGAAACGCACTCCTGGAGCTCCCTGTTTTATATACAACAGTAAACAAATCCCGGGGAGTCGTCTGGAACTATCCCATTTGGGATCAGGCAGGTGACGCACTTCAATAATCCGGGATGTTTGCTAAACTACCGAACGACCTTGTACAACCCTGTGTCCCGACTCCCTCCACTCCTGCTTTGAAACTTACGGAAATGTCCCTGACAGCCGGTCAGTAGATAATATGACACACTTTTATCGAAAGTGATTTATAATCGGTAAAGATGCAAACTGCACATAACAGTAGATTAATAACAATAAAAGAGAGAAAAAACAGTAAGCACAGGCTTAATTAAGTGCCAGGACAGGGGTGTAAAACATACACGCATCGATGAGCGCAGATAGTTTCCTCATGTGACACAAGTCCGTTCGGTCAAGACCCGGAACACAATCACCAAGGGCAAGTAGCGAGCTGACCGATGTCTCCATGTGGGCTCCCCCCAGATCTTCATCACGGTGAACTGCCTGAGCACGGACTTCTCCTCCCAGAAGGGAGTGAAGGGCCTGCCGCTGATGATCCAGATCGACACCTACAGCTACAACAACCGCAGCAACAAGCCCATCCACCGTGCCTTCTCCCAGATCAAGGTCTTCTGCGACAAGGTGAGGCCCGCGTGGAGACAGCGGGGGCCGTGTCTGGTGCGACCCGCCACTTTCCTGGCACTGGCAGCTGTCCGTGGAGTGTCCAGAAAAGTGCAAGAAATTAATAGTATCTATAATATTAAGGAACAGTAAGGAAGTCACAGTAAGGAATTAAAATGGAGGTGTAAGGAATTAATATATAAGTGTAGTAATAATAATAAGTTCAGGTGGGTAGCTGCGTCAGCATGCGTAGGCTGCAAAGGAACAAGTAATAGGTTTATTCCATGCTGAAAAAAAGAAGAAAGAGAACACAACGTTTCGGCCGTGGAGCCTTCTTCAGGTGTGTCAGAGTAATAATAATAATAATGATCAGGATTATCATCATCATCATCTATGGCAAGTAGACCTCTGGTTATTTCAGTGATTTCAGGAACTTTCTGATTTCCAGTTAATGAGACTGTTAACTGGTAATCGGTCAATTCCTGGGTCGTGTTCTCTGCAGCAAAATAAGGTCTTGCTGCTAGGATACACTGTATGTAAGGTTTATCTGTTCTTGGAGTTCTCGGGGTGTTTTCTTTTGTTGTGTGTCTGAGTCATTCCTGCTGTGATCATTGTGGAAGTGGCTTCGGATTCTGCAACAGAACGAACTGGAAACAAATGATCATCTTTTCAGTTGGGGCCGTCTTTGTCTTTTGGGGCTTCGAGTTAATTTTGGATGCGCACATCTCTTTTTTTGTGGGTTGTACCACAGACCACAGTAATGAGAAAACAGGCTTGTGAAATAGCATAGTGCAAATCTTTTCCATGTTCTGTTTGGAAAACGTTGGTGTAGCTCCAAGCACATTAACTTATTAAGAGAAGAATAAGTTGCTCTCTGGTTGTCTTATCAGAACCATTATCATAAAACAACTTAAAAAGAAGATTTAAGAACAGAAATGCTTCTAGACTGGCTTCCCAGGCTTTGTAGCAGTCAGTACAGGCCATCGAAATGCCTTGGCACTCCTTTGAATTCCATGTCTTCAATGTCTTTATTAGCTCAGTACCTTTCATGGGAGTATTGAAATGCCACCTGAATTCTCACTGCTGAATTATCACAGCATGCTTGGCAATATTGTAGGTTTCCACTCATTTTCTGTGAGCAGTGTTTGAGTAAGGTGGTGAAATGGTGTTAGGTTTGTGTATTGTTTTGTGCCTTTACCAGGAGACTATTATAAGATCAGATCACTTTATTGGCCATGTACAATTTCTTGCATTAGGAATTTGTTTTTTTCGCATACCCCAGCTTGCTCTCCATGAGACACACAGACAGAGAGAGAAGCTTGGGGTCAGAGCGCAGGGTCAGCCATTGTACAGCGCCCTTGGAGCAGTTGGGGTTAAGGGCCTTGCTCAGGGGCCCAACAGAGTAGGATTTCCCTAACAGCCACAGGATTTGAACCGGCAACCTTCCAGCCACAGGCACGGGTCCTTAGCCACAGAGCCACTGCTCCACCCCTTAATTGGGAGATTATATATATGTGCCAAAGGTTTTCTCTGGTTAATGGGGATTAGAGTAGCTGAGCATCTTGTGCTCAATTAGAGGGCATTTTTTTAACTTGCAGAACCGGTCACTTATGTAGCGGTTAGGATGGTGCTAAACACTGGAACATGGGAAATTCAGTAGCTCCCTCTAGTGGTTCCTTTAAGACTCGCAAAACACAGTACACACTTCCATGAGCTCATTGAACAACTCAAGGTTTCCCCCTGTGCATAGACAACCTCCTTTGAAGACACCTTTGCTTTATTGTATGAAGACGATCTAATATGCTTACTGTATTTTAATTAGTTATATTGAAATCATTGAATGATTTTTAGTGAAAGGAAAGTTTGGATACTGATGACCTGAGCCTGATTAGCACTTTTTTTTAAATAAAAAATATAACTTGGCATCTGAATTTTGGAAAACAACATTGTAAGCCAATTATCGTGGCAGAAACAGAGCCATTCACGAGTGTGGAACACTTTCTGGGTGACAATCCTGCAAACCTTTATCCCAGCACACTTGTCTGAACGGGGCCTTTGTGCCCTGTGATCGAGCAGATGTCCTCAAGAGTACTTTCTGAAACTGAGCTGTGGGGATTCCCCATTCCCTGATGCAGCTCCTTGCTTGCTTGGGTAGAGAGGCAGGCTGGGACCATCAGTGATCCAGTAGGATTGTCAAAGTGCCCCGCCATCATGCCAACCCCTCTTGAGACAGTTAGCGTCATGCTCTGTGAAATGCCTTCCTCACTCTTCCTCCTTCATTACCTGAACACCAGGGGGCAGAAAGGAAAATCCGCGATGAAGAAAGAAAACAGAACCGCAAGAAGACAAAGGGACAGGCCGCCGCCCAGTGTAATAACAGTAAGTGTCAGCCTGGACATACTGTATACACCAGGGCTCCCCATCCAGCTAGTCCCTAGGCCACCTGTCTCTAAAGATCTACAGATCCATTCAGCAAAACATCGGCTCAATTAAGAGGACTGTAATCCTTAACGGCTGAAGGGTACTCGAATTTGTGGACCCAGCTGATTTCCCGATGACTGAATTCAAGTTCACCTGTGACTTTGATGACAATGAAAGTGGTCCAGGTTTGTAGTAATGGCGACCTGTAACACCTGGTGGACTGGGGACCTGCCAGACCAGGGCTGGATATGGATCTTGGACAGCTGAAGTGTGGCTGTATGGTGAGAGCTAGATAAACACCAAGGGGGCGAACAGCAGTCTAACCACAGCAGGCTAAGGTTCCTCCCACTGACCTGCCAGAGCTTCACGAGACCGTCCGACCACGAACGGGACCAAATTGTGTTAATTTAATGAGAATTATGCAGATTCAGAAAAACCTTTCCGACAAGACTCACCTCCCTCTCCCCCTCTGTGTGCGTTCAGCCAAAGAGGGGGCGCCGGGGGGCGGCCCCG